GCGACGGGCACCACGGAGAACTGATCTGCCTTTCTCACCGCAGTGTCTGCCACGCTGAACGCAAAGTGGTCCATTGCCATGACCACCAGCATCAGCATCAGGGCCACAGTGAGGAGCATGGCTTGCACGAGGCACAGCATCACTTCTTCCCGGGACAACTTCAAGCCTGTTGGTCGAATGAGGTCTTTGGATGAGCTCGCCAGCAGATGAGCTGCTTTTCTGTCCACAGCTAAGCGCTCCAGCTTCTTGGTGATGTAAAAATTGTCAAAGCGGAGGTTGGTGAGATAATTTTTCAGATACCAGGTGGACTCAAAACAGAGGTAGAGCATGGAGAGGCCAGCAACCAGCTTGTTGCCTACTCGTACAGAGTCTTTGACCAGTACCTCAACAGCCAAGAAGTCCCTCCCAATTTTCTCACCAGCAAGGTGCATTTGTTGGTAAATGAAGGAGCTGTTCTTAAGCAATGAAAACTGAAAATGTCCATTCATAGGCCTATGAATATTAATGGAATGAGCAGTTTCTTGGATTGCATCCCCCAACTCCCAGGAAGCTGTCTCTAGCAGAGCAGTTGAGTTCAAAAGACTCTCAGAGGAATTCTTGCAGATGCACTTAATAACCTGCAGTATGGTTTTAATGTTGCTTATGATGTTGGGTGTTATGTTAACCACTACTATCATGATGCAGGTTGACAAGAGAAGCTTCCGGCCTTGTTTGGTACCGAAAGTAGGCATGATCATACTGAAGACACAACGGGCAGGATGTACCAAGAAAAGGGTCAGGAGAAGGAGCAGACTGAAGGAGATGGCCATTATAATGGAGAGATGCCAGGAGTACTCCAGCGAAGCAAACATCCAGTTGTAAAAGAGGCCTCCTATCACCACTGTAACACAGGAACACTGCAGAAACAAGGTCCAGAGCTCTCTGCCATTTGCTGGGACAGGCTTGGAGTAAATTGACCATAGATCTGCTGCGGTCCTGTGCACCTTTGGGAACAGAAAGTCTTCACAGTAGACACGGGCTCTCATGCTGTACAAAGAACAAACACGTCAGTGTTAGCAGAGGAAGTACGGAAATGCACTAATTCCCCTAATGAGATGATCGATCACTCATGGGTCCTTCTCTGAGTGCCTCCACTCTTTACCTCTCTGCTAACCAGAGCAGCAGTCTCAAAGGGACTGAGATCTTCCCTGGAAGCATGCAGGACAGGAAAATTCAAGGCATTTCTTGAAAGATCAAATACCAAGTACAACACGACTGCTTCTCCTCTAACGCAAGCACAGGAAAGCACTGTAGTATTCTATAAAAATCATAATAAAGTCATTCAGAGGGGTCAACTCCTTAACAGTGGCTAAGAGTGGCCTCAGTGGTTATTTAGAGGATGCTGGAGGGAGAAAGAGGCGGCCCCTGGCTGCTGTGGAAATCATTAGACCAGCTCTGTAATTACAAGGTGTTCAATGGGTAAGAGGTAGTTGAGTGGGAGTTTCTGATCTCCCTGCCTTTTAAGAGGAGACCAAACAAAAATCTGCAGGTTTAAGCGTGACAAATACAGAATTGATCAGAGAAAACAGTTTCACACTGAAGCTCCAGTGCCAGAGGAAATCTCCAAGGATAAGAATTTGGCCACTGCAGACAAAATGAAATGTCCCATAAAGCTATTTAAATGTCTAATGAAAACAAATGTTTGGGAAGGAATGTCATTTCTCAGGCCTCTCATGTGGAGTGACTCTCCAGAGACCAGAAAACCTGGTGGGGAGAAGGAGCATTTCCCCAGGACTAACCCCAGCCAGGCGATCCCCATCTCTGCCTGCCCGACAGCAGCCTCATTTATCCTTTGAGGGAGAATTTTGGCTAACAAAGAAGGTTTTCCATGGAATAAGGGCATTCAACAGCTATTAAGACAGAGGGAAGGAGAGGGATTAAAACACACACTACATACCCAGTGGCAGAGAGGTGCCCCAGTCTTGCTTGAAAACTCTCCATGCTCCAGTGCCTTATTGCTCTCAGAGGGGGTCCTGGATGCAGGTGCTGGGAGATGCAGGATAGGAAATCAAGGCAGCTGGCACCAGAGAGCCAGGACTCAAAAAAACCCCCCAAATGTTTTAAGGCAATTCAGATCAGCAGTGCTGGCAATTCCTGAAGTGAGTGGGCAAACCTGGAGTGTGAAGCCCTGGGAAAAACCTCACTACAGGACAGACCTGGGATGCACAGCACTGCTTGGGCTTTACACTTGTTTTGGTCTTACTCTTCTTGCAGAGAAGGCTTATTATCATGACACATAGCTGAAAAAAAATGAGTCAATGACATGGACTGATGATGATGGAACAAACATCACATGGAACATGGGGCGTCACCATCCCTCGTGGGGAAATCAGCTGTCTCATCCTAGCTGACTTCTCCTCTCACTGCCTACCAACGAGCAGCAAGATTGGGATTTCTCTCAAAGAGAAGGGGAGCTTTTCCTCTTTCAGACATCAGTCACGGCACAAAGGGCATGGTACAATCCAGCAAACCTTGTGCTGATAATCGTTCATCTTTTCTGGCAGACTGCTCTCCCTGCTGAAACCATGAGCTCGTGGTACACAAACTGCTTAATGGCTCATTTCATAGTCCTAGAAGAGGAAGATGAAGCTTCAGACTTGGACCTTTCCCAGTTTCCTACAGCCAGCAAACCCACTGCAAAGAAAGCTCTGCCACAGGCAGGATTCCCAAAGCGCTGAGAAGCTCCCAGACGTGCAAGCCAGGATGTGTGGTCCCCATGGGACCGATTCGCCTGACCCCTGGGATGTGCAGGGCACAGAGCTCCAGCCACCAAACCCACTCGCCTGGAGATGGGGACCAGCCCATGGTGTTTGCTCCTCAGCTATGTTTCCAAAGAAGAGGCTTCCTCCTCCTCCGATCAGCTGGTGCACAAGAAATGTGTACCAGCGCTGCCTACCCCCTTGCACTGAGCTCGTGGGTTATGGGAGCCTTCCCTGGCTCCCACCAAACCTTCCCCTTTGCCAGACACTTTCACAATAAGCCACCGCTTGTGGCCAAAGACGACACAGCTCACCCAGCCGCCGCTGAGCCCACTCCTTACGGGGACCCGCTGTCCTACGCCAAACCAAGCCGAGTCCTCCCACCGGCTGGGAACTGCCGGGCCCCTGGTTTGTTCTCATGCTCCCCTGGGTGGGAGAGGGCAAAGGGCTGGAGGTCAGCCCTGTCCCGGCCGCCCCTGGGGATGGAGCACGTGGGGCTCTGCTCTCCGGCAAGCAGTGGGAGAGCAGCACCTTCCCCAGGGGACATGGCTGGGTCCCACGGCATCGGCAGTCATTGGAGGACAAGCAATCATGAGCATAAGAGGGCAGAGCAAACCTCTGCCTCCTTCCTCAGCCCTTCCTGCAGGTACTAGACAAGGTCCTTTCCGCCCTTGCTGCTCCACTCGACAGCTCTGCTTTATTGCTAGAGTTTTTCTTTTTCCCACATGGCTGGTGGAGCAAATGTGCCCTGGAGCACAGACACCAAATGAGAAACTCTGTCTGGCTCCAGCCAGGAAGAGGCACCAGCCAGATGGTCATGAAAGAAAGTGCATTTACTTGGAGCATCCATAGCAATTGCTTGCACAGACTGTGAATTAGGTCTTGAATTCAATTTGCAGACTATAAAGGACCACCCCAAAAGGCCCATAGCTGTATTCTGCAAAACTTGTCAGGTTCTCCTTAGTTGCTGTTTGGAGATTAAACTTCTTTCTCAATGTATTTCTGAGCTAACTGATTTTAACAGCCCCCCAGGACCCCATCCAGGCTAAGCAGGTAGCTTTATGGGCCACAAAAAAAAAATGTTAGCAATAAAGAACAACAATACCCTCAAGTCCACAACATAGTGATGTTTTCTGAGCCTGCTGCATCATCTGGCAAAAGGGAGTTGAAGTCTGTTGGGGAGCTGTGCTTGACCAGTAACTCCAGGCAACACCGAGAAGTGTTTGTATGCAAAGTCAAACCTAGATTTTCCTCTGGCTCAATTCAGAATTGATCTCTGCAGGCTGGCCTATCCTAAATATAGGATGTCTTCTATTTTATACCCTGAACTGATAACCTCTAAATGAGCTAGAACCATCAATGCCTAACTTTCCCCAGGACACAACAAACAAGCTTGCTTTGCCACAAAAAAAAAAAAAAAAAAACCAAAACCAAACCCAAACAATTAAAAGTGTGTGCGTTTATACAGACACACAAAGAACTGCGGGCGAAGTCTGGGGAGCAGGACAGGGGCAGGACTCTGCATCTCAGCAAAGCAACTGTGACATCTTGTGGTCAGATTCTGCTAAAATCTCTCAAAGTCTCTGTTCATTTCAGCTCAGAAACTAAAGTCTGTGGGTGGAAGAGTTTTAAGGAAAACTGAGGAAGTGAAGGAGAAACGGGAGGCTGGTGACCGGTGATGGGGATGCATACACTGTGTCCCCTCGGTCTGCTCTGAGGTGCCTTTTCCCACCCTGTGTCACTGGGGATCGTGTGGCTCAGCTCCCAGGTGGTATAAAGGGGCTTTGATTTCTTGACAAGCTGGAGTCTCTATAGAGCTAAAGCTCTAAAATTTTCTAACATCCCTGATTTAGACTGTTTAGCACTGTACCCACCAGGACACAGATTTTAAATCCCTTTCTGCTTTGCAGAATGTAGTGCTCACAGAGTGGGTCTCAGGGCAGCCCAAACAAAAGTTTCTTGCCAAGACATCTGCAAGTTCAACCTGTAGTGACAGGGCAACCCCACGGTGGTGACGCTGATGGGAGGGGGTGCAGTGTTAAGTAGCACTTGTATCACAGGTAGAGTGTAGGGTACATGAACTATAAGAACTTAAGAAAATAACTAGGTAAAGAGGTGAATGGAGGTCTAAAAATAGGATGATTTAAGGCTGAAGATATTTCTCCATGGCAATATCAGCAGCACCTGTTGATCATGTTATTCTGCCAGTTCAAGAAATTGAGGGTGTGGGAAAGATTATCCCATTACTGGTGATTCTTTGCTTGTTAAAATCACATGCAAATGAACAACTGATGATGATACAGAGCCAGGTCATGACTTCTTAGGTTTCTACTACAGAAATACAGAAAAGTCCTGGAAATATCCTTTCAGTGACTGATGAGGGATAAATGTGGTAAGGCAACCAAGGCTATCTAACCTGCAATAGCTGAATTTCCCCTATCATGCCAGGCTTTCATTTGTTTCAAGAATCTTTCCCTTTCTCTCCTGAACTTCCAGCATCGCTGCTGGTGCAAATTGGCTGAGCACAGCCCCAGAATCACTCATGGCTGTAAAGAGCCATAAAGCAGCTCCTCTGTGTGAACAGTTTGTAAAGCAACTTGAATGCTTCTGGGATAAAAGATACTACAAAATGCTTTCCTACTGTAAATAAACCAGAATGATTTTCCTCCAAGTGTCTCAGGAGAACATGTGGATGTTGGTCCGGGACTGGATAGAGAACATCAAAGGAGTAAAGCAGAAATATTCTGGATGTTGAATTTCAATGTGTGAGTGGCATTTCCTGTTAATTAAAATTCACAAGCAGGCTGCTACTGTGAATGGCTTTTGTGATGGGTGTTGGATTTTTACATTCCTAGAAAAATGGTGCATTGGCAGGCAAAGTTCCTTTAAGAAAACAGTCAAAGTTATAGAATATTAGTACAGCACTTGAAATGCCCTTTCGTGGGAATTTTCGTATCTCTACTCACATCACAGACCCTTCAAGAATAATGGGGTTGAGTTACCATTAAAAGCTGCTTTTGGCAAATTTTAGTACTAGCAGCAGCAAATGCAATCAGAAATTATTCACGCAGGCCAGTTCACCCTTGAACCCCAGAAATACTAAATCTTAAAATCTCTGTTTAAAAAAAAAATTTAAAAATCAAGCATGCCAGACTCTGCTCTCACAGGTGCCTGGATATGAAAAAGCAGAATTAAGTAATGCTGTCGTCCACACGCCTTAAACCAGATCCTCTGGGGAGCCATGGGAAACACAGAGGCTGCTGATAGAGCTGGCAGAAGCCAGGTCTTTGGCTAAGTAGAGGTTTAGGATCCAGCTGCTCCTCACACCTTTCCCAGGTCTGCCAATACCCCGTTGTGTGATCTTGGGTAAGTCACTGGCCCACTCTCTGCCTCAGTTTCCCATGTCGGCACAGAGATAACAAACCTTCCCTGGCTGCATTAGTGAAATACCTTCTGATGTCTGGACAGACAGCGCCACAGACATGCCAGGATGCTGGGAGTGATTTTTGGAGACTTCTACACAAACTTTGTGCTCTCAGTTTTGCTTTCATGCCCAAGTAAAACCATCCTCCTGGATTCAACTAGGATGCACCAAGCCAGAGCTGAGACTGTAAGTAGACCTGTGATCCCCTGCAAAGGAGCTGGACTCGATGTTACCCTTTGAGCCTTGAAATTAGATGATCCAAAGGCCCTCACTGCCTGTCCAGGCTGCAGGGACAGAGGCAGCTCTGTTCCAGTGACCGACTCGGATCCTCTGCAGCAGCAGCTCCAGCCGCAGCAGGGCAGCGGGACAGTGGGGATCCTTCCTGCGGCACCCGGCCACGCAGGGCACAGCCTGTTCCCCGGCACCGTCCATGGGACAGCTGGCTGGGAAAGGGAACTGCAGGGAACAATTTTCCCTTCACCATTCAGCCCATCTTCACTAAGGCATGATGAGGAGCACCCATGCAGAGCGACGGTGCCCAAATGTAGTGTGCAGCCAGCAGGGAGCTGCCCCGGGGAAGCAGGACAGTGATGCGCGGTATCCCCAACAAAGGCGGCTGCCGGGGCTGCACCTCTAAAGAGGTGCTAAAGCACAGCAGCCCTGAGATGCCGGACTAGGAGCTTTGCCAGTCTCATTGCTCCTCTGCTTAACAGGGCTCCATTTTGGCTCAGACTGGGAGGGAGACCTCACTGCCCTCCTGCTCCTCCTGGGGAACCACTGCCCAAACCAGGGGGTGAAGCTAGGGGATGGAGAGGCTCAGCTTTTTCATTTCTCCTTTCAATCTACAGAGCAAACAGGACAATGTGACATGCTAACAAATGTGCTTTATTGTACATTTTCCACAATCATTAAGGATTTTGTTGAACTTAAGGATTTTGTTGAACATTAAGGATTTTTTTGGACTTGACTGATCAAAGTTCCACATTCAATTGGTTTTGGAGGTTTTGGTTCAACCCCCATGAGTCCCCACCTACCATGCCACCCGAGGGCCATCCCCCGCAGCAGCAGCCATGGTTGGTGAGCGTCACCCTGCCAGCTCTCCCACCTGGCCCGGGGTTTATCAGCAGCACAGGAGCAGGGGGCATGTGCTGGATCCCTACCCCAGGCCTGTCCGCCTCGCCAGCTCCACCAGTTCACATTGTCAGAGAAATCTGTCCCGGTACAGGGATCCAGTCACTCACCCTCCCTAAACCAAGAATCATATCCTTCATCTGTCAATCCATCTATTTCAATGACTGGTCTTTTAAATTAAATATTTTAGATTCTTACAGAACATTAAAAAAATCAGATAAAATGGTGATTAAAATCACAGTCAATTTGCAATACTTTCATTGAAAGTACCCAAGCAATCTGATTTAAAAAGATGTTAAGAATCAAAGCCTATTTTTCAGAAATGTCAATAATATTCCAATGCAACTTGTCCACTGACCTGTGACTCAGCAGGTCACTCATGAGTGAGTCAACCTCACAAACCTCAGACTGGCCACATTCACCAACAGTGAAACACCACCGATGTCCAAAGTTACGTCAGAAATCAATTTGGTCCCAAACCCCCATCTGCGTACTCAGTGCAAAGAACCAGGCAGCAATTACTGTCCCAGGTTTTCAAAACACTGAACATGTTTTGAAACAAACTGTTACCTTCCTGTTTCCAAAGCCTGGAGTAAGGCACCAAGTCCTACCAACACATCTCCTGAATCATCCCCTTCATGCACAAACCTGAAGAAATAGTCTTCATCCTCCATGAGAGAATTACTCATGAGATGGTAATGAAATGCCCTCCTTCACATCCTGCTAGAAGCACCCGGCCACGCCACCTTCCCCCAGTCAGATTCTGATACACTCACTCACATTGGGTTGCACATAAATAATCCAGTTGCCTCCACCCTGGTCCCAGGGCTACTCTCCAAAACGAGGTAGGGTATCAGAAGCTAGACCAGAAAAGCTTGCTAGCTTTCATGGGGGGAGAGGCATCTACCCAAAGATGCTCGACACTTACAGGGTTGTCCAGTTAACAACCACCTATGACAGATGGACTCTGGGAGAGTCTGATTGGTACCTGTGGAAGGTGGGGAAAGATCTTCAGAGAAAATAACAAATGGATGTTGTGACACTGACCAGTATTTCTAAAATAAAATTAAACCAGAGGGTCCCAACAGTGTGAACAGCCACGCGGCTTTCCTCCTGTGCATACTCTGACGATCCCAGTGCCCAAGTCCTAAGTGAGTGAGTCCTTCCCCAGGGGTGGCTTTGTTCATATTTTATTTAGTGCGGTTAAAGTGACATTTTCTACAGCTGTCAAGAGTGAGGTGGCATTTTCTGCATGGATGTTGGCCCATGCAGGGAAGGTCCCCAGCTGGAAGATGCTCTTGGCCCATGTGTTCATAGCCAAACTAAGAAGGAGAACTCCCATAAGATTCATGAGCAACCCAGTTCTTGCCTATAAAAGAAATACAAAGACAACGGTTGAATTTAGACTGGACATCTACAGCATGTGAAGCATGAAGATATTTGAATATAAACATTACAAAAATGGAAGGCTTAATTGCTGTTAATATTAGCAACATCTTAAGCAGGCTTACTTAAACCACAAAGGCCATTCTGCAGATGCTTACCAAGCTTTGATCCATCAAAAACATTAACATCTGTTTAGCCTCAGGAATGTGAGCAGGAACTGGGACTGAGCCTAATTTTACTCATAAGCTTTATTTCTCTGCACTGGAGAACTTTTCCTGCACCCAGAAACCTACGAAAGTTGAGCTGCTGACACTAGCAGGAACAGGAGCAGGATCTGGGAGATGGTGAGCACATTCAAGACCAGCTTTGTCACCATTTGGAGCCACAGTGGCTTCAAATTTCACAGGGCCAGACTTTATACAGGCTCCTTCCGTATACCTGTGCCTTCAAACACTGATGAGAACAGTATTAGACTTCTGTCTTTTTACTGTAGTACACATTGAACTAGTAACACTCCTGGAAAATTCCTTTTTTAAACACTCAGACTGATTGTTTTCAGCATTTTCTGTATCTAAAAGAACTTACCATATCCTTGACCATCAAGTGTCCAGAAGAAAATGCAATTGAGTTAGGAGGTGTTGAGACTGGCAGCATGAATGCGTAGGAGCATCCTATAGTTCCTGGTATCATTAAATAGAGGGGATTTACTTTCAGACGAATGGCCTTGAAAAACAGAAAGGACAGAAATTGCACCTTCGGGATTCGGAGTCATAGACAGATACATCAAAGAATGCAAATAGCTAGTGCACTGTGCAGAACCCTGTCCCACACTCTGTGACAAATAATCACGTGTCTCACCAACAACATGTGAAGGATTATTATCCTTCAGTATCCATGTTACGCTACAGGCACTTGCTGCATTGCTCCCAAGGATTTCAAAGTGCCTGAAGCCCAGGAGCAGAAGAACCATACAGTGCCTGTCCCAGCACAGACATGACACAAACCTGCCCATCCAAGAGCAGGGAAGCAGAGGAGCAGCTGGTCTTGCCATGGGACTATCTTACCAGCTCTGCCAAGACAGGCAGAAAGATGATAATAGTGGCTGTGTTGCTGGCAAACTCCGTGAATAAGGCGATGACAATTGTGATGAGGATGACAGCCACAGGCGGTGGTACGCCCTCCAAGGGATGCAGACGGCCTCCTATCCAGACAGACAAACCAGACTCCTGCAGAAAGGGAGAGCAAACAAGCTGGAGGGCAGAGCTCCTACATCCCTGCATGTGAACCGATTCTCTCCTAGAACAACCTTCACCGACCCACACAAGCACATATGTGCAGTGTCCGCAGGGCATTTAACAGCAAGCAGTTTGAAAGGAGTTGCACGTTCTCTTAACCTCCTTAGTTATCTGCATTGCTGTCTCTAGGAGTTGAGGAACATGTCCTTCAAGCGTTGTGACCCCGCAGATGCAAATTTCCCAGAACCAAGTGACACCCTGATAAAATCAAACTCTGTTGGGCAGGATGACTGCAACGTGGCATCTGCAGTGGGCCTCACCTCACAGCCCTTCGCCATGGCAAAGCCTCCTCCAAGCAGCAAGATGATGTTCCAGGGCACTGTCTCTTGGGCCTTCCTCCAAGTCAGCAAGGGTTGTGTCTCAGTGTTTGGTGCTAGATGAAGAGAAAACTCCCGTGTCAAACACCCACCCAAAGAGCAGCATGGCAGTCATCAGCTGACAGAATGATATCATGAGCCTGACATCAGTGCTGAAGCTCACTAACCACGAGTTGCTGATGGTTAAAATACACATATAGAGTCTCTTAAGCTATACAATTAAAAGATCATTTAACTTAATATCAGATCTTAAAAAAAGGAAAAGAAATCCTAGCACTTGAAGTTTTCTTTGAGGCTTTCTTGAGGGACCATTTAATATCAGGTTAATTTTCTCTCTGTAACAGACATAAACATTGTCCTCAACAGATGGGAGCCCGTGGAAGGAGGAAATTTTTATCCATTTGAATTATGAAGATGTTATTAATTTTCCACTTGCTGTTCAACAGCCAGTGAGTTTTATAGCAAAGAGCTCATCTCCCCTAAAGGCCATCTCTTAACACATGACGAAGTGAGCTCTGTCATATGGAAGGATGCACTAATGGGACTGTGATTTTCTGTTGAACAAAGGCACACATTTTATCCAGAGGAGGCCTGATTAACCATCTTCCTGCACATGGACAACACAATAAATGTGCATGACTCAGAGCAGATGCTATTTTGTTCTCATAGACCCCACGCAGTGCTACACCATCCGCGAAGGGCCTTCACCAGCTGCATCTCCACATTGAGATGATCTCTTATTCCAAGTGGCTTATGAATTAAAATTTGTATCTCATTGCTACTCCAGAGGGCAGACTCAAGATCTGAAAAGACTCCTGGTACCAAAACCTGCTGGAAAGTTTGGGCTTTAGGAGTTTAAATTCTAAATCAAGCTGGGAACTGAGGAAGGGCCCCTATTTTTGAATATGGACAACTCGCCCAGCTTTGCCCTCTCAGAGGTTTGTGCTCCCCCGCCGAGGGACAGGAGCTGTTTGGGAGTCAGCAACCAAACCTCTGTTTCATAATCAGGTCTGCTATGGTAAATCAACACCGATTCCAGTTCGCTTCAACCCACCATGCCATCATCTCTGACAACTACATGAGCAACTGAGTCATTCCTGCAATTGGCAGCAGGGCAGTGACTGCTAAACCTTTTCTAGTACTTCAGAAGAAAAGCCTCTGTATGATCAAATTGCACCTTCAAACCACGCTGCTCCAGACTGCCAGCACAGCTGCTGTGGGCCGGTACAGGTCCAAGGTGGGATAGTCTTGGCTCTTGCTCCATGCCTGCCCTGCCAGAGCACAGGCAAGGGAAGAGTCCCTACCCAGAGGGGTCTCCTACTCACCTTTCAAGTCAAACCACCACTTGAAGGAAGGTTTTTGAGAAGGGAAGAAGAACAGTATAATGACAATGGTGATTCCTGTAACCGCATCTGAGATAAACCTGTCCAAAAGCAGCAGAAACACTGGTAAGAAGAAAAAGCCTGTAGAATTACAAAGTTCATGAGAACAGGGATTTACCAAAGAAGATTACAAGTTTCCATCGGGTTTGAATAATGTTCACTGTCCAGAGTTCTTTTCTTTTTAATTCCCTGTTGAGCCACATTTCTAAGATGGGCTTAGAAAAACTGCCTTGCAAATCTAAAAACCAAAATCTAATCCCCACCACACTGATGCTCTGGCTGTTCTGATTGCGGAGTTGTGGTCAGTCCATGAGGGGTTGTGAGGTCAAGTTTCCCCAGCTTGTTGCAGGGATGAAGGAAGGCAGAGCCCAGACCATCTTATTTATATGGGCTCTTTCCAAAATGCTCAGGTTCTAAGGTGAAAGGCAGGCTCTATCCAATAAAGAGCTTAAGCATGTTTTTGATTGTAAGGAGCTATTAACTGATGAGGGGAAAGTCCATAACTACTTTGCTGTATTAAGGAATCCTTTATTAAGTTAGGGCTTTATTTAAAAAAAAAAAAAAAAAAAGGTCTCTTCTGTTAAGAAATAGCAACACCCTCTCTGAGCTTTAGCATTCTCCAACTGCTATATCCGTTCATCTTCCCAAGGGATGGATGTCACAGGGGAGACTAATTTGCCAAACAGACAGGATAGCAAAAGGGGTCAGCTCCTGCCGTCTCTCTTCAGTCTCCAGACCCCCAGTGAAATCAGTGGATTGCATCCAGAATTCAGTATTTCACTGTAAATGTACCTATAAACAGTGTTCCCAACATTAAAACCCTAGGCATGGCCTCAGATAGACACATGCCAACTTCCCACCAGGCATCGTGTACCTCCTCCAGGAGACAGAAACAATAAAGCTGGCTCTGCCACTTGAAGTTCAGTTTCTAGGAAAACCTGAGTAATAGTGTTAAGCAATGCAATCAGAAACCCAGGAATCTCAATGACTTGGAAATGCTATTGAAAAAATGTGACAGTGGAATGAAAATAAAATCTTACCCTGGTGCAAAGAAGCTTGCCCAACCTGGAATGAATTTAGGATCCCTGGAGAAAAGCATAATCGCAAACATGCAGAAGAAGAAGAAAATTGCCTGTTCTGCAAACCTAAAATGAAAAGAAATGCAGTTAAAATGCTGATGTGCTAAAGAGGTGGATGCAAGCTAGGACAAGTATTGAGCTCAGGCTGCAGCAGCTTGGGTGAGAAGTTAGGCTGGTTTTCTTAAAATAACTATGTTTCACTACAGTGAAACACTGAAATAGACTGTAAGTCTATTTGCAAATATTGATACTTGCCAGCAATTATCTCTTATTGGAAGAAGAGGCAAGAGAGGCATCAAGAATGCCCAGACCAGATGTCACAACAGGTGTACGCAAGGTTGACCCTCTGGGTACGGCAGAGAGGAAGGGCCAAGCAGCTTCTCATGGTCATTCCTCTTACCGCTACCCTCTGGGATGTCCCTAAGGCACGGTCAGCTAGGAATGGTTTCACTCCAGTTCAAGCAATGTAAAAGGATGGCTGAGACTCAAACCATACATGAGACAGCAGGAACAAACTTCAAGGTCAAAACCTAAACAGCATCCCTTAGACGCATGACAAACAGCAGGGGAAATGGCAATATCATTTGCTAAGTATCAGGCTTGACTCCAGTGGAGTCAAGATTTAACCAAGACAATGCCTCAAAACACTTTAAAATCTCTCCAAGCACAAGGAAGGGCATTTAACCCATTGGGAAAATGCCACCTGCATTGATTTTAAGTTACGGGGTTGCTAATCAAATTGGTAGAGCACGGCTTAATGGACTTTCTCACTCCTAGACCTCAAAGTGAGACTTTGATTCTTTCAGAGACATTTTGCAGGCTGCTCGATAATGTACTGAATGGAACAAATAAACCAATTTCCTTCACTTACAGCACAGGCACAGACAATTGTCTTTGAAGAACCACTCCATTTTCCACACAACAGCAATAATTACAATGTCGATAGCATGACACAAACATCACTGAATCTTCACAGCATTGCCGTGAGTATGAAAATATTATTTTACAGATGGAGAAACACAGACCATTTAAAACCTACAGTTTCAAAACCCTTCACTAGCCCTCGTTGCCCAGAATACCAGTGGCTGGTTTGACATACCTAGGGTCTGATTCTTGGAGACATTCAACTTCTGCTTTGCCCTTTTTTGGCATTTCTCATAAGTCTAGAACTCATGTTTCTTTCTGCTGGTTCCTTTCTCCAAAATATGACCCCCATCATTGCAATTTGCACCAAGCTTTTTCCAGAAGACAAGACCTTTGAGAAACTACAATAAGAAGCTACAAGTGTCTTGTTCTTTCTTCACCTAATACAGCTGAAGGAGTTATTCAGAAAAAATAATGTATTCCATGACATGGATCTGACCTTCTTTCCACATACTTTCTTTGAGCAGCTATTAAGCTTTCTTAAAGTACATCCACAATCCATAGGATTCATATCTATCATATGATTCATCAGCCTTCTCTGCAAATGCTTCCTACTTCGCACAACAGGTATGCACAAACCTTCAAAATTCAGTCTGTTGGTTAGTACATAAGGCACACAGGATTGTTTTTGTCCCTGGAGTAGAAAAATTACAAACAGTAATTAAACAACCCAGCATGAATTCACTCTGTAATACGAACTTTGTTCTTGAGAAGATTTGAGTACAAGCTGCTATTTGCAGCTGTTATTCCTGTTAGTGAAGGTGGAGAGGCTGGAGCATGCAAAAAGCAAACTTCAGCAGGTGACAAACACTCTGAATGGAAACATCTATTTCATTTTCTTCTAAAAAACTCCATTTCCCCCAGTTCTCCAGTCTTAAGACAGGACATTTCCAACCCACTTGATTTCTTTCTCATTTCAGTCCCAACTTTATGACTCACTTTGTTGGACCCAGTTTCTGATAGTCCTCTTTTATCACTTCTCTGGCTCGGGCTTCTGCATCCACTCTTATATTTGACTTCTTTGTTCTCCAGCCCCTGCCAACAAATACAGTTATATCTTTACATGCCTCTATCATAACAGACACAACAGTAAATGCTGCATTTTCTAATGCAGTGTGTGTATGACTCGGTGTACTTCTCCGGTGCCTGCTCTGCAAGTTTCAGAGCTGCACATCTCTGGTGGCTCAGTTTGCATTATCTTCAAATCGTGAAGACTGATGATGAGGTCTCCAGTACAGATACAGGCAATAAGGCCCTATTTCATATATCCTTTCTCTCTGCATTCATATAAAGGAGACCCTGCAGAGGTTAGGAAGTTTCCTCTCATTTCTATTCAGAACTGTTTCGTCCAGCATGGGCTGTGATTGCCAAAAGCAAGTCCCAACATTGCAGGATTTCCTCATCTCTAGCAGATACCTACTTGGGCAGAACAACTAGGAAGAGGGTGACACGGAAATTGAATCTGTCCATTTCTCAATTCACTTGCAATTTCCTGGGTGATCCCAGGATGCTGCTGAGAATCAACAAAAATGTGAGGAATTTCTAACTGGCCAGGAATGTTAATGTGCTCCTGGCTAAGCCTCTTAGCCTGGCTGCACTGACTGCACGCAGTCTGTTCCTCTGTAGCATGTGCATACAAATGACACATTCGTATCTCACACTTCATCTCCCATCACATCCCATGCCACTGAACCTGGCTTCTAACCCTGACTTGACCTTGATTAAACCTACAAGCCCCAACTTGCTGTATCAGATGCATCCATCCGGCCCCACGGTGCCTGCACTTCCTTAAATCATTCACTGTTTCAAAGGGATATCGTGGCTGGATCTTCTATGCAGAGGAATGGCTGATCATTCAGAAGTTCCTGAACCTCAAATAGATATACCTGACCCTTCAATTTCTTATTTTTTGGAGGGGTGTTATTAACAGCAGCTTCATCTCAGCTCAGCCAGCCTATACCTAAGCCTTTTAATATCTTCTGGATTCAAGCAAAGCTGACCTGCTATTGCAGCAATGTCCAGCTGCCTGTACTGTGCTGCAGACACCAAGGACTTGCCCACATAGAAAGTCCAGCCACTATCCCCAAGTCGTTACAGTCAAAGCAGCCCAATAAACTCCTGCAGACACTTGGCTGTACTTGTCCAGCTTTGCAATGTCTCTTCCGAGACACCTCACCACTGGGGAATACTGGTATCTGTGCTGGCCCAGCTATCCCAATAAAGCCAGGCTTTGTGCTAACAGAGACAAGCCAACCAAAACAAAAAGCATCACGTTCTCTGAGCACAAGAGCAATTTTGCATCTTGCCAGGGGCTTTGGCCAGCATAGCTACCTCTTCCCTCACCTGATCGTCCGGGGCTGTGCCAGCAGGATGCCAGGGCTGTGCCCCAACCCTCACTGTAGGATGCGGGAATTCAGGCTCCGCATCACGCAAGCTCCACATCACACATCAAGGATGCAGAGCAGCGCAGGTCTAAGCAGCTGCAAGCTGGCAGAGCATCCTACAGCAGCACACAGAGCCTCCCGTGAAGCCCCACGAGCAATTTAAGGACCGGCGTTTGACATTTTCTGGACAGAAACTTTCCCATTGATTTTTTTCCTGTCTCTGAGACAATGTAAATATTTGGACACCTGTTCTCTTCCCCATCCCCCCTTTTATTTGCATTTTTAACTAAAAATAACAATTAAAGAATTTTCTAAATATTAGAAATTCTGTATGGTCCCCGGAGGAAGCAGGACTGCGACTTTGTTACTATCACATATGAGAGTGTGCATGGAGAAAAAGGGCTCCAAATAACCCAGCATGGCAATGCTGCAACCATTTTAAGTAGCGTATATCAGGGGTTGCATGTATCCAGCAAAGACTTACTGGAAAAACATGTTATTCTCAGTTACAGATTAACACATTGTTGTAAAATTAAGCCCTGTTGTGAAGTAATCTGTTCCAAACCCAAGTTTCTGCCCCAGGAACAAATCCTGGCTCTTTTATGTTCTATGAGATTTTTGCTACTAATTCCAAGGGAACCAAGATTTCATGCTGGTCTTCAAAATTTGATCCTGCTTTCCCTTCTGTCAATGAAAATCTGCCTCTGACCTCCACCAGCCTAGGTCAGGCAGTAAAACAACCTTTAAAAATTGTATGTTTAACTGAATGAATATATAATACATACTCTGTACACGTATGTATTTCAGTGATAAAGTATATGTAACTATGAGATACCTTAAAACATTCCCATTGCATACCAGCTTCTTAAAAATAAATGACTTGTATAATAATAGTATATGTATATAATG